ACGATGTTACCATGGTGACACTAGTCGCGTGTTGTTTACTGAATATTTAACACAGTTTCCTGGCTGCACAGTCACAAACATTGTGGTCCTGTTAGTATTTTCTTAGCCTCGATAATTTGGGACCGTTATTTGGAGGATAGCCTTTAGTTAATATATTTACATCTGGGGGTCATAAATGTTTGCACGGGCATGAACTCAGTCAGTAGCATTTACTATATATCTCATGAACAGGTCACTATAGAAAAGTTGGAAAAGTTATATTTATGGAAATTTGCCCCAACTGGAAGTATCAATTTTGGAGCTTCTCACGGTTACTAGGACAAGACGTTGTTCATTATTGTCATTATCATGAAGCAAGGTAATTTGCAAATTGTAGCTCTCATTGCAGCATGCCAGAAAACCTCTTGATTCCTTGGCTAATTTCCTGCCTCATGAACTTTGATGCTCAGGACATCCTTGATATCCTGTGTCCAAGGTTGTGATAGTTGACCGCTTCCTCTGCTTCTGGGAACCATACCCTCCATTGTTTTTTGCAAACCATTATTACTTTTAATAGGGTCTAAGTATCTAGGTTTATGAGAAACTACACAGTCTATAAACCAGTTCTCCTGTACATTCCTATTCTGAAAATATGTATGGATCTACGGTCTCCAGTGTACAGAGAAACACAACCACCAGAGAAAAGATATCTTAATATAAAAATGCCTTCAGTGAAAATTATTAATAAAATAAAGGGAATGAGATTTCAGTACCATCTACAACAGTTGTATAACATGCATAATGTATTTCAATATCTAAGTTGCAACAATTATATAACAGAATACACAGTTGAACATTTTGTTAGTTTACTGTTTGTTAAAATTATAAAACAATTAAAAAAAAAATTGTATTATCATAGTTTATTGTTTTAAATGTTTGTGAATGCATTCATAAATTTGCAGGGGAAAAAAACCATTTAAATATAAAGGTGATATCTGAAAAGTGTGATTAATAAGCAACCACAGTATTCATAAACTCATTGTACTATTTATTGTGCCATTAAAAGTCACACATAGGGCTCACAGTCTGTTTCCCCATTTCATTCTATCATGTGCAATCATAGATTCAGTCCAGCCCCTTTGGCCTTTTTCATCAATGTTTACCTTAGAGGGTTTCTTTGATGTACTCGTTTCCTCTATCCTTTTATTTCCAATTTCAGTGCCTTTTTGGTGATTCTCTGTTCGTCTCTTCTCTACTGTGTCCATCACAGCATGATCTTCTTAACCATAGTATATCTACATGAATTTGTAAGTATCTCTGCTGTATAAACTGAGAACATGAAGTACTGATGGTAAAGATTATAGCTTTTTTCTCAGTATATAAGTACACAGTGTGAGATTTGGGGGTGAAAAGCTATATATCCTGTAAAGAATATGCAAACCACTCCAGCATTTGTTGGCTGTTGTGGTTTTTTTTTTTTTTTTGTCTATGTAATTTTACATTTTCCATTTGCCAAACTGCCAGCAGATGACTTGGAAGCCTGATGTGCTTAAGCTATGAAACTGAATTCAGGCCATCTTGTGTGTATCTCTTTGCCTTGCTGTTGCTCTTTTTTCATCAATCATACCAGTTAGTATACCAAGTTCTCCAGTCCATTCCTCCTCAAAGTGTGTTTGCAATACCTAAGCCACAGGCACCAGAGACAGAGGCTAGAAGTAAATGATATACAGTTCCTTCGAAGTCGAAGTGCATCTGCCTGAGAGGCAAGGAACCAGCAGTCTGCATACTTCTTTGCGTTCACCAGCTGTACACTCTGGTGTAAAGTTCTGGTTGTTCGTCCACTTTTGGACTGCAGTCCTGCTCCAGAACCTGAGTGTTGCGTGTGCATCAGTTTTACAGATCTGATTCAATTGAATGCAGACTGCTGGTTCCTTGCCTCTCAGGCAGATGCACTCCGACTTCAAAGGAAGCTCCCCAGTTAGTCGACTCTTATGACATGCTTTTGGGGAGGCAGTGGGTCTATTCTTGTTTTTCCCACAATAGGGCCCCGGAACCCACACGGGGGAGTCTGCATACAAATGCAATACTCAGGTTCTGAAACAGGACTGCAGTCCAGAAGTGAATAAACAACCAGACCTTTCCGCCAGAGTTTACAGCTGGTGAACGCAAAAAAGAAGAAGATATACAGTGGTTATAGCAAGTTAACATAAAAATGAACCTAACATCATTGCTCAAGTAATAAGCAAGTGGAGCACGAGTAAGAGCAATAACATTATAAAAGAAAAAAATTATGCTTAACCATACAGTTTAAATGAAAAGCATTAAATTTGGGCAAGTACCAATTCAATATTTGTCTTGTGTACCGATAGCTGACCGTTCAGAAAGCAGTGGCAAACTACTGTATGTAAAATTGCCTAGAAAAACCACAAAAGCCCGAAAATGCTGGGGTTGATTCTGCAACATCCTGTAAAGGATAGGCAACAAAGTTTAACTATATACAGTGCAGATAACATCAGATGGGAGTTATATAACATTCATAAGAACATATGTTGTGAATTCTGGACATATTGTAAACAAGTGAAAATGTCATGAGCCTCAGAAATTTTTTGTGAAGAAAAAATACTGAAAAATAGTTTTGCAGCTAAAGTAAATTATTAACATATTTTTGGGAAAAGGGGGCTAATATACAAAATATCATATTATGTGAAGTGAAAACAGAAAAAAAAAAAAAAACCAGAACATGTTGCAGTTGGACAATTTACAGAAAATGTAATAGAGGAGAACAGCAAGAGAAGATCTTTAACAGCATTTCATCATTACATATAAATGTGTTGTCTGCAAACAGACAGATACATACATTATATTTGAGATTGCATGATGCAGAGAAAAAAGTAGCACCCAAACCAATAATCAAGGCAATTTTTGATGATGTTGATTATAATGATTCTGATGGGTAATGATAATATAATCTGTCTGCAAATTCTGTATTTATGTGTGAATAGGCCATATGCTCGTGATGTAGTGGCTAGATACTTGCCTGCAGATCAGAAGGTCGTGGGTTCAGGTCTTGAGGGACCTGTATTTTTTCAACAATGACCTTGGCTCCCATGTTGACCCCACCTTGAGTGGGTACCAGGTATAAGTCCTGGGAAATAAAGGTGGACAGGGTGATGCTGACTACATCACCCACCAAGACCCACATGGTCTATAAAATATAGGTCCAGCCCTATATGCCCAATACACCTGAAGGCATGGAAAGGGTCCTTTACTTTTTTTTAATGCCATTTTCAATGGGTAGAAACGAATTCTGTTCGTATTCCATAGTTGTGGATTTCAAGCTGTACGATAGACAAAGCCAATAAGACATCCTTTTTTGGGGGGTGCCTAGTTGACCATGTTTCTTAGTGCACTTGTATTCATGGCGAGGCGCAGATGCCATCTGGAGGTGACAGGTTCAATTCCCGGCACGGTAACTATAGATTTCGATTTGTATGTTGTCTAGTGTGTTCTTCTATCTTTCTACTTCTTTCTATGAGTGCCGATCAATACACTTTCTGTTACTTGATTAATTCACCACGTTTCTTAGAATTTTATCATGAGAGCAAAGTACTAGTAAACAATGAAAGATGGGCCATGTAACAGAGCTTGTGACAGTTGTAAATTAAAATAGCAAGTAGTGCATTATTTAGCCATGTGGCCTTAAATCCTCAGGCTCAAAGACCCCTTTCTGTCTACACCACAAAAAGGTGGTAAATACAGTCAGTAATAGCGGTTTTATTGACAGTAGTATGTTATGCTCAAGAAAATGGAAACCAAGCAGCTTGATGTGGATGAGAAAACAAAAATTTCAAGTTGGATTGGAATGAAAGATCCTCTTAAAAAATAAGTATATTTGAAAGTCAACAATCTTTCTGTGGCAAGAAAGTGAAATACCCAGAAGAAGAAACCAGTCTGCTAGAACGTGTCAAGAAAATACGAACAGATGGGTTTTTCTATGTCAGTGGAAATATTACAGTTTGAAGCGTGTAAATCATCAAGCATCATGGAATTTCTCAGGACAAATGTAAAGCCAGTTACTGCTGGGCTAGCCTCAAATTTAATGCAATCTCTGTCCCCATGTGGGACACATTTTTCATTATTAAGAAACCCCCACCCTGGTTGTTGCCAGGGGCACTAATATAACCTAACGGTTGAACAGAGTTTCTGGGACCTCTCCACGGGTGATCCGCATCTGAATTGTGGCACTTTGTGTCACCAGGTTTTTATCGCTCAGCGTGATGTCCTAGTTGAGTAAAAAGACAGTCAGTCTGGGCTAGCCACTTTATGGTGTGAAATTACCTCATGATTTGATGGTGGACAACAATGCGTCAATTATCGACATTGTTTTTATAAGGTGCATTTCAAAATGGTGTACTATTTGTTAATATATTGTGTACATGTTGACCTGATATCTGGAATATAAACTGAACCCTATTTTTCATCAACCATTTTCGAATAAAATACTTTGGCCTGTATGTGAATAAATATGATATTCTTTAGACCTCTTGTGTATTTTCTAAACTCTACATGCCTATTTAGTGTCTGTTTTTGAAGGCCTCACATAGTGTTTTGAAATGAGAAATTAATCATTTCAAGCAGTTAGAAAATTGCATCGAGTCTCTGGAGATGTGGATATACAGAAGAATAGGTTCTATTTTTTGGAAATAAAAAATAATAAAATGCAGAGGTTCTGAAAAGACTAGAAATGTAAAGAAATTTGCTAAAGGAAATAAACAAGAGACAGGTTAAATATTTAAGCCATTTTAAAAGACATAACACTTTTTTAAAATCAAACTAGAGGGAAAAATTAAAGGCAAATAAGCAAAAGGCAGGCAATGTTACAAGTGGGAGGATAACAGAAAGAGATGAATGCACACTAGTCTAAGAGAGTGTAAATTCAAGCTGAAAGACACGGTGCATAGCAGATCAATTGCAGCCAACCTTCATTGTAGAGCTGGCAACTGACTGACGATAAAAGCGAATCACTGTCTCATAGAGATGTCCAGGCTGGCTAAATAAGATTTCAGAGTGCTTACAGGATCACTGTTTGTTGACGAACAAGAGAAGGAAGCTCTGCAAATTTCATGATTTTTACGGAGAAACTCCGTCAACTCTTTAAGAGGCTTTCTATCCTCCTCTGTCAGGGGATGGATGAAATCAAAGCTAGAACAACCAGAATCAGTCAAAGCATCTACAAGAACCTGACATACATTGCCATCCTCTTCTATTTGAGGTCTTTTCTTCATCTGCAGATTTTCAGGCAGTGTAAAATTGTTGTCTTCATGTGAGGTGCATTGTTTCTCCACAAGATTGTTTACAGTAACACAAGACGTTAAATATTCATATTCACTGTCACCAACCTGTGCTATGTCATTTTCAGACACACTTGATCTAGTTAATAATGTTGACTTTTTAGTTTTGTTTACCTGAGAGTAAACAACTGTGGATTCACGATTCTCAGTAGCTTCACTTAATCCATTAACACAACACTGGTCAATTGTTGCATATGTTGTAGAAAATGCACATGCATCGTAAACTGAACCTGATGATGATTGACGTAGAATGTTTTTAACATCTCCAACTTCCCAGTAATCGCTGTTACATTTTCTGGTACCACTTTCTATATCAGTCGGCTCAGAATAGTCAGAAAAATTAGCAGGTACACATGGCTGTGTGTCAAGTAAATTCACAGTTTGCACACAAGACTCTCTAATTAAAGCTTCATCAATTTCATTATACACATTCTTATCATCAGTAATTGTTGCTTCACCAGTTAAAAAAGATGAACTCTGCTGGCTGGGGAACAAAAATAATTAAGTGTTTTGAATATCCAGATAATTAAAATATGACTACAAACATTCTTTTTCTTCTTTTTCACTTCCTTTTTTACTGCTTTGGGTTTTGAGGGAGAAATATGAATCTGTTTTTTTGCTTTAATGGCTGCCTTGAGCATAGACACATTGTGATTGTGCAGAGTTTCATTATGGTTATATTAACATTTTGTTTTTGGCCTACTTCTTGCTCTACATCTCTCTCCTATTTTGGCATTACCTTGTATGGTTTGGCAGTTTTTCTAAGTAGGGAAACAATTGTATTTGTTGTCAATTTAATTTATAATTAGTTGTATGCTGACCTTTCCTGTTATGACTTTATTCCAAATCATATCTCTTCTGGTCACTCCTGCTGCTTTCTAAGTCTTCTTATTCCCATGATTACTAATTCTTTTGTGGTGTGTTGTGAGTGACCATGTTTGGCACTAGCAGCACAGGGTGGAAATGAGTGTGCTTTGTATAAGATGTTTCTTTGCGCTGATTGGGATTGCCTTTTGCTGTAAGAAAGGTAATTAACTAATTACAGGTGGTAATGGTGCCAATCTGCAATTCCTTAATCAGGGTTGTATTTAAGGTGTACGACACCCCTGGTCATTTATTTTATGCCCGCTCTTTCCTCAGCTAAACTTCTGCAATTCTTTTGCCATATAATGTTAATACCTGGATGATAATGCAGCTTTGATAATGCTAAAAGCAATAAAAAAAGGAACATTTAATTAGTGTGAGTTATATTTTGCCACCCTAAAAATTATGCCACCCACTGTAGCTGCACATGTTGCACATGTCTAAATATGGCCCTGTCCTTCATGGCTCTTAAGAAAGCAGGGAAGACCAGGGTAATGCTTAGTATAGCTGTTAAGACTGGTCTAACTGTAATCATATAAGATTGAACAAGGTATCTGAGATAAGCCAGCTGAAATGGCATCATATATCAAGGTTTATAGTTACAGGGGTGTCAAACATTCATGTAGCAAACCAGAGGGGAAAAAACAGTCACACCAGGTTGTGACATCTTAATCATTTTGAACTTGTATATTTTTGTTTATTTATTTTGTTTTTTTATTTTGTTTCTAATTTTTTCTGCAGCTATTAGACTCCTCTCTATCTCTCTCTCTCTCTCTCTGTATCTCTCTCTCTCTCTCTCTCTCTGTCTCTCTCTCTCTCTCTCTCTCTCTCTCTGTGTCTCTCTCTCTCTCTTTCTCTCTCACTCTCTCTCTCTCTCTTATCCATTAATTCAACAAAGCCTACTCCTAATAATCATTTTGTTCTAAAATTTCATTTTACTAATCAAATCAAGTCTGCTTGTTTTTTTGACTTATTCTATATTAACCTGTACTTTTATCAGTAGGTGGACTTCAATATTCTCAGTCATCCCTTTGTGGGATGCAATTTTTTATTATTTAAAGCCCCATCCTGGCTTTTGCCGGGGGCCCTGAATATAGCTGGGCCATAATTGTGGCCATAATCGCTGAACGGGGTTTCTGGACCTCTCCACGGGTGACCCTCATCCACATGGTGGCACTTTGTGTCACCGGGTGTTTATCGCTTGTGTGATGTCCTGGTGGGGTACAACAAGCAAGCAAGCAAGTAGGTGGACTTACATAATCATCATCCTCATCATGCAGCAGGTCCACTGCAGAACGTCGCTCTCATCACAGTCTGCCTGAAAGAAACTCAGTCTCTCGCCAGTTCTCCCGCCTCATGTACTTTCATACTCAAGGAGTCACTTAATCCTGTGCCCATCTTTGTGTCGGTTGGCCCCTGCCCCTCCTTCCTGGTACCATGCCTTCTGCCATAATTTTGTCCAATCCGTCATGGCGCTTGATATGACCAAAATATTTCAGCTTCAGAGAAAGGATGCTGTTTATTAGCCAATCTTCCTTGATGTTCAGAACTTTTAAGATTTCAATATTTCTCCTCTTCTTTGTTCAAGATATTCTGAGAATCTTTCTATAGCATTTCAGCTCAAAAGCCCCTTTTCCATACTTACATAATACTGAACCAAATATTTAGTAATCTATTGAATTCACTGAAATATTGAAACCACTGAGAAGTATTAGAGAATGTTATTTATGGCTATTCATAATACATAAAATGTCATGAAATAAAAATTACGCAGTGGATCAGTGGATAATAAAACATTAACCAGTGCTTTATTAAATATTTTTGATTATTAAACAATATTATTTAAGAAAAAAAAAAAATAATTAAAGATTGTTGTGTCTTGGTCATAGGCTAGCTTATAATATTAAGAAACTCCCTGTATTGGGAGAAAAGACAATAGAGTTACTGCTCCCCCCCCCCCTCCCACCCCCTCCCCCAAAGTATGTCATACAGTGACTAATTACTGATGTTTCCTTCAAAGTCAGAGTGCACCTGTCTGAGAGGGAAGGAACTAATGGTCTGCATACAAATAGGCCAGATCTGCAAATCAGATGTGCATATAAAGCTGAAGTTCTGGAACAAGACCACAAGTCCTGAAGTAGATAAACGACCAGAACTTTCTGCTGGAGTTTACAGCTGGCAAACACTAAAATGAGTAGATATGAAAAAATACCAGAAAGAATTCTTGAAGGCACAACAAGCTGATGTTCGGTGGAGTCTTATTTGAGGTCCTACATTTTAATCTCATCTTTCCTAAAACTGGAACATGATAATTATGTGTGATTTGGCAGCAGATTCCAGGAAGCTGATTTAAACAAGGGTATAAGTGTTAACCATCCCAGCTAATATATATGCTTATATAAATTATGTTAATTAATAACATGTTGGTGAAAATCAATGCCAAACTGAAGAAAAAAAAGCAAAGGAAAAAAAGAAAAATATTTACTGTGCTTCAGAAAAACACCTTCCTATGTTCACTTCTTTAATCATACTATACGGTAAAATTAGACCTACCTCACATTCTTTCTTGATATGGCAATTTGCAGAGCCTGTATCCATGCCATACAGTCTTCACTGGATGGGCAGATCTGGATTTAAAAAAAAAAAATATCTAGTTATAAAGATTGAAGTTAGTTTTACTTCATTAAATAATAATATCTAAACTACTCACTTTGACTGTCCAAAGTATTTTCATGTTTTATAATACATAATATGGCTTCACATGATTTTATTGTTTCTTTTCAGTAAATTATGTGTGATACGGTGTCATCAATTAATTTTTTTACTTTTTAACTCTTTAAGTCCCAAGAAACGTATCATACGTTCAAATGTTCCAAACTAGAAGCCCAATGAACGCAAGATGCGCTGATTTTACGTCTCTTTTAACTACCCATTGGGCCTCTGGTGCTAAACCCCCTGGGACTCAAAGAGTTAAATATAGTTTTTTTTTTGTCGATTCCCTGTCACACCACATCAAAGACAGTAAGGACACAAAAGTAAATGCATAAACGCAAAATAACGGTATTTAAAATAAAAAGGAGTAGAATCTCTGTGTCATAGTAGAGCCACATTGGGCATATGGACCAGTACTTTTATAGATCAATCAACACTTGATACCGATATGGTCGATATCAAGCATAATAATGTAAAATTAAGAAATAAAAATAGTAGTAAAAAAAAGACCCTTTTCCCTGCATCAAGGTGTATTGGGCATACATGGCCAGACCTATATTTTATAGACCAGTCAGCACGGAGTGGGTGATGTCAAAATCATGTGGCTGTCTATACTTCCAGGACTTAACATGGTACCCATTTAGAACTGGGTCATCCTGAGAGCCAAGGTAATTTCTGAACCCACAAATTTCAGATCCCCTGATGAGTGTCTATCCACTGCACTACGTTGACTGCCACAAATAAACAAGCAGACTGAAATTAACCAATAGCAGCTGAAAATATTTTAAAGTGGTTTATAACATATTTTATTTTATTTGGTTTGTTTACTATTTGTTAAATTACTGAATAATATGAATATGCCTTAAGTGGTTCTTCAGTGTTATTTTAAAAGGTAAACCTGCGCACACCGGAATTGGAAAATTTCTCTTGCTCTTGTTGATGAAGCACTGAGGGAAATGTCTCAAGTGCTGTGATATTAATTCTTAATTCAAAATTCAACATTTGTTTTATTTTTAATTTGTTTTGTGTTGCTGTGATTTGTTTCTTTTTCTTATAATTTGCTAATGAGGTCTAGTTAAAGCAGCATCCTGTTATTATGAGTATTTCATTTTTATAATGGTAATTTTGTCAAGCAAATCACATTATATTTAATAATACACTTCATATTTCCCATTTTTTTATGTATGGCACTTACAAATACATGGTTCTTCTTTTTCATGCAGATTTCAAAGTGGGTTCCTGTGTTTTCATTGGTGACTTTCCGTACTTGTAAAACATCTGTAAGGTCAATTGTCTCTATCACATCGCGCTGTTTCTGAAATAAGACAGTGTGTTTGCTTTGATATAAGCAGCTATTCACTCATTCAAGCCATTCATTCATTGATTCATTCATTGATTCATTCATTGATTCACTCATTCATTCACTGTTCAATTGTGCCATTATCTTATTCTATTTCTCCGTCTTTTTATATCCTGTGCAATCACCTTAATATCATTAATGGAATCCAGTCCAGCACCTTTAGCTTCTCTCAAAGTTTACCTTAGGATTTCACTTGGGCATCCTTGTTTCCTCAGTCCTTTTCTTTCTCATTTAAGTGCTTGTTTAGTGATTCTATGTCTTTTCTCAGGATTTGTCAAATGTAGCACCATCTTCTCTGCCTTATAAATGTTGATGCTAACAGGTGCCCAGATATTTCTCTTTATTCTTCACTTTTCTTGAATTCATCTCATTTTATATACCTCATTTTCTTCAGGCATTTGTTTTCATGTGCACCGGACTCAAGTGATTCACTACATACACACTGGTTATTCAAATTATTGTTAAAAACACTTAATAAGTTCTATGAAATTTATTGCATTAGTAAAGAAGAAAATTAATAATATAACTGTAATGGTAACAGACTAGTTAGCTCATTTGCTGGTGAGACAGTGGTCCAGGTTCAGTCCTCAAAAGTGGCAGCATTGCACCAGTCAAAAAGCTTAACCTATGAAACCCCCAGACATAATGATTAAACAAACAAACAAAAACATAATCTTTCATCTTGATGTGAAAAGTTATAAGTCAGGACTTGATTGCTCAGATCGCTTGAATGTAACTTTAAGATTATGATGATGATTATATAGATGTTGATGATGATAAAAGTTAGGAATTACAACTTCCACTGATTTATTGTTATACATTATTCAAGAAAATAATGTAATCAAACAGGATAGGCAAATTTAATAGATGATAATGTAGCTAAAGTAAACTTTAAAAAAAAAAAAGCAAATATATCTTTGTCACATGAAGTCTTCTTCTTCTTCTTCTCTTTTCACCAGCTGTAAACTCTGGTAGAAAGTTCTGGTTGTTCATCCACTTCTGGACTGCAGTCCTGTTCGAGAACATGAGTGTTGCGTTTGCATGCACTCATTTGTATGCAGACTGCTGGTTCCTTGCCTCTCAGGCAGATATACTCTGACTTTGAAGGAAGCTCCCAATTAGTCGACTCTTATGACATGCTTTCAGGCAGGCAGTGGGTTTATTCTTGTTTTTCCTATAAAAGGGCCCCACACAGGGAACTTGTGGTAAATCATCACATGAAGTGATCTGCAGCGTTCTTAATAGTTATATAGAGCTTATCCTGACGTATGAAAATGAATCATAGACATCAATAAATCTGTGAAAAACCATGTAGAATCTGCTTATATCTGATTTTATAGAAAAATGATAAAAGGCACAGTGAAAAGTTTTGTTCTGAAGGACATTAATTTAAAAAGTGATGGGATTATTCTCATCAGAAAAAGCCAGCCTGGAATGAATTCTTTGTACACATCATGGCAAGGGATAACTTGAGTACATCATGATAACAGTCAATTTGAAGGGGAGGAGAGGTTAGGAAAGAAAATGTTTAACATCAAGACACTGAGGTACATCAGTATTTTAAAAAAAAACATATGGGCAGTAAACATGACTAGAGGCTCATACAGAAATTGCAACCAATGTTTCAAGACATGTATTACAAGAAAATGATTTGCACACAGTAGTAAGCTTAACAGCATTAAACGAATGTAGTACCTTCTGAAGGTAAAGTGTTAGTCCCTGTAAGGAGCACCATTGCTTTGTCTTGACACCAAGAACCTGTATGAAAAAAAAGTGTGTAGCCAAATCAATGAGTGATTAGGTCATTATCATCAAGTGCCTTGCCAGCTGGATCAATTCCGCTGATGATATTCCTCCATGCCACTGTCTTAAGCCATCCACCACCATTTCTCTTGGTCTTCCTCTTCTACCAATGATCTTTCCAGTCATCACAATATTGTCCAGTGCTCTTTTTCTCATCATAGGACCAACAAATTTTGTTTGTTCCTTCTTACTGTTGTATATAATGTTCACTTTCATTAGCCACTTCCAGGCAATCATTGTTAGTTATTCTGGCACTCAAATATCACATCTCAGTTGCCTCCAAACTCTTCTTAATTAGTGTGTAGGTAGGAGCACATGCAAATAAACTGATGGCATAAATAGTGAGTGTAGGCAAGATGATATCAAGAAGTACCTGGTCTCCTCAACATGCGACTGAGTTTCGGTTTTGACTAGCAGGTCCATAATTCTAGCTGGTCATAAGTTGAATTTATATTTTTCAACACTATTTTCATTCAAACCAAGTAGAAATTGTAGCCGCAAAAATGCAATCTATGTACATATAATTATTGTACCTAATGTGAAAAATATGTTACATGTACTTGACTACACTGAGTTGAGGAAACTGATCCTTACCAGTGTAATTTTCTCTCTTTATTTACTAATGTTTATTAATTTGTGTGTGTGTGTGTGTGTGTGAGAGTGAGTGTGTGTGAGTGTGTGTTGTTGTGTGTGTGATGTGGTTGTGTGTGGGTGGGTGGGTGTGGGTGGGTTGGTTGGTTTGGGAGTCATAAGTGTGGGTGGTAGTAAGGCACATAGGGCAAAATTTGAGGAGAATTTGTTCTAAATACACAATCAACCGTGACTCAAAAGCTCAGTGGAGGAAATGCAAAATATGCATACAGATAGAACCAAACAACCAAATATAACAATAAATACAAATACTGTTTGCGATGTATTTGTACTGTTGATAAAGATTTTTGTGTGAGTTTAATCAAATGAGTTTCTTTTGTGTGTGTGCTGATTAGCAAGGGAATTGGCATTTTAGTGTTTGATCAATGAAGGTGTTTGTGAGCTTACTAAGTAGTGAGTTGATGAGTGACTGAGAATGTGCTTGAATGAATATGACTTATTTTTTTGTAATGGGTAATTTAATGAATTTGAAGAAAGTGGTGAGTGAGTGAGTTGAGTGATTGTGTGCAAAGGAGTGAGCAGCTGACTAACAAGAGATTGTTAAATTTTTGGGTCTGATGAATGTGCAAGTGAGTCAAGAAGTAACTGTGTGACCAACTGAGAGAGTGAGTGAGTGACTGCGTGTGTGAGTGAGAGTGAGTGAGTGAGTGAGTGAGTGAGTGAGTGAGTGAGTGAGTGAGTGAGTGAGTGAGTGAGTGAGTGAGTGAGTGAGTGAGTGAGTGAGTGAGTGAGTGAGTGAGTGAGTGAGTGAGTGAGTGAGTGAGTGAGTGAGTGAGTGAGTGAGTGAGTGAGTGAGTGAGTGAGTGAGTGAGTGAGTGAGTGAGTGAGTGAGTGAGTGAGTGAGTGAGTGAGTGAGTGAATTGGTAGTCATGTAAGTGAATAAGTAAGTGGTTGAACAAGTAAGTCAGCTTTTTAGTATGTGAATGAGCAATTGTGGTTTAATGTATGAGTGAAAAGGGTATATGAGTAAGTGGATCTGCAGCTGTAAGTGAATGAACAAACGGAATATTAGTGTCTGATTAGTTAATGAGTGACTGATTAGTTTCAGCGATGAATGATATGGATTAGAGAGTGAGTTACTGTACAGCTGTATGCATTATTTGAGTAAGAGTGACATGGGGAATTGATAAACTAACATCTGCATAAAAACCTAGTGAAAACTTCATGATTATCTAGCTTGACATGAATTATTCTAACCAACTTTGATACCTTTTAAGTGCATCCTTATATAACAATACTTCTCATCATTTAAGTACTGCCTTTTTGTTTCTAGTGGTATGCAGTACCGGCACCTGATTTTTTTAAGGCATCTTTTGTCAGTGCTACTGTAACAGACACATTGTGGTGAGTACTGGTACTTTTTCTTATACACTCTGTTGGTGAGTACCAGCACCTATTTCATGTCTAGAAAACAAGCTATGATGTTAGTACTGGTGATTGTGGTAAAGGACTTATTTCCACACTTTGAGCTACTCTGAGATTGAGACGTGAGCCCTGCATCACTAAATAAGCAATATTGTTGCAGGTCGGTGGACCAAGAGAACGAAAAATATTGCTGTTTTGCCAGATGTCTTCTTCTTCTTCTTCTTCTTCGCATTCACTGGCTGTTAACTCTTGCAAAAAGACCTGGTTGTTCATCTAACTCTGGACTTTAGACTTGTCCAGAACCTGAGTTGCTTGCACATCAGTTTTACAGTTTTGACTTATTTATATGAAGGAAACCCCACATTAGACTTTTACTAAATGCTCATTGGGAAGGCAGTGGGTCTATTCTCGTTCTCTCTATGTTGGGGTCCTCACGGAGATTGCCAGATGTGATTAGGTCATAAACATCATGTCTCATAGACTGAGCTATTTTTGTCTTGTTAAAAATAGTAATGGTACGTAAACAGTTCTGGGAAGAACATGTTGTGGCTAACCAACGCGAGTCTAGATGCACAGAATGCATGAGACGGGAGAAATGGATAGGGCAGCGTCCTGTGAAAGATTTCCTGCGTGATGATGATGACTAATGTTGGCATCCTATGACAAATATAAGAAACCAAATTGATGGAATTATTAATTAGACTTTTTAGGAATAAACATGTGTGTCTGATTGAAGAAGAAGGAGAAAAAAAACAAGGAGGGGAAAAGTAACAGGTGGAGAGAAGGAGACAGTAGATGAGGGATTAGGGAAAGCACGGGTGTCTAGGTGGGAGGAGATGAGAAATGGGGATGAGTATATCATCAATAGTATATGTATACTCACTCCTTTTTTTCTTTCTAAATATCCTTGAATTTCAGCTGAAACATACACAGATGATTCTCGATAGATGTCACAGGCAGTCCCGTTTTCCGCCATGATACAGTATTTTTCTTTTCTTTAAAGGTGTTGTTAAAGTCTTAAATAACGCATTTATTTTGCCATTTCCCTTGTAAACTGGTGTAACGGAATAATTTCAGATATTTTCATAAACATTTCAGCACCACTTTAAGCCAAAGTTGACGTTTATTATGTTACAAGCATTTGCCTGCTAGATAAAGATATAAAATATGTTTTGAAAGTCCTGTGTGGAGATTAGTGCCAAAACTGTAGAAGATATTGCACTCTTACTAACTTTTCCCATTTAGATAAAAGTCCTGTTTAGACATAAATCCTATTTTCACTTCACTAATTGTTATTACCTTCACATATCTATTACCTCCTAGTTTAATCACAATATCATATAAATTACGTTGTCACTGAGAGTAAAATAAAAGTGCAGGTTTTACCCTAACAAAAATTATAGTAATATACTTCCTCAACCGCACGCAGCAAGATTGTAATGGATAGCCACGCCCACTTATAACGCAAATTCAAGGGACATGACCAAGTAAATGTTTAGTGAAACTGCTGACATTTATATCCCCTGTGGCACCTTTCTGTTGTTCCAGAAATATTTACATACTACTATCATTCCGTGGAATTGAACTCTGGACCTATCCTACTTAAGCCAACGCATTTGCGTACAAGATCAGGTTTGGTTTCCACCTGCGAGTGACAAGGTGTCGAGGTGCAAACTAGAGGGTACACTGTGTTAGAAATTAAATCATGATTTAAAGAAAAAGTCGCTAGGTGATAAGCTTACAGGATTTGGTAACATAATATACGAGCACTGTTCCCACGAGTTCGGGACAGTCGAGAAGACGCAGCCGGGCGTCAAGCAAAATACAAGCAGGAGACAGAGGGACATTCTGAAGTGCAGGGCAGACAAAATGGCACTTAGAAAACGGTTCAAAGACGCTACAGGCAGCGAACGGGAGGGGCTGCATGAGGTCTGGTTGCACCTGAGAGCCAGATACAGTGTCGTCTGTCGCACTGAACGCTTCTGTAATAACAGACGGAGAACCAAAAGGGAGCGAGAAATATTCTTTAGGGTCCAGTTCCAGTTTTCCCGAAGTCTATTCGAACAACCGAAGTCTGGGACTCTGGTGGTGAGTAAAGAGAAGCTTGAGTCACACTTACGCAAAATGTACTCAGATAAGAAAAGGAGATTCATAGCGACCTGAGTTTCCAAAGGTGTAATTTAAAATGATACCTTCCTCTTGGTCTGAGGTCGAGGAAGTTGTGAAAAGAGCTAGCGGCAAGTCCGTACCAGGTCCGAACGGTGTTCTGTACGTCGTGTACAAGCGTTGTCCGAAAATCCTACGAATGCTTCACCACTTGCTGAGATTAACGTGGAGCCGAAATCACATATGTTCCGAGAGGCAACGGGCCAACGGGGTCTACATTCCCAAAGAGCGAGACTCGAAGAGTCTTTCCTAGTTCAGGCCTATTTCGCTGTTGAATGTTGAGAGCAAAATTTTCTTCTCGGTTATAGCTCGCCGGCTCAATACATCGATACGAGTGCTCAGAAAGGTGGATTCCCGGGCGACCCTGGGTGCCTTGAACACGCGACCATGATCTGTGAGTCTATTCAGAGAGCCAAGCATGGGAGAACTGAATTGCACTTAATATGGTTAGAACTCGCCAACGCCTATGGGGCCGTTTCCCAAAGGCTACTGTGGCAGGCTCTAAGCCTGTTCCACGTACCGACACAGATCAACGAAATGATCGAGCAATATTTCGCTTTGCGCTTCTCTACCCCGACGTTTACTATGAGATAGACTGAGCTCCAGGTTGGGATAGCTATGGGATGTACGATCTCGCCAATACTGATCGTTATGGCCATGCAGGTCATGTTAGACGGGACGGCAGGCTACGGACAGGGCCTTCAGATTGGGGACCACTGGATGCCGCCACTACGTGCATTTATGGATGACACGACTATAATCACGGGCAGTGAAGAGTCTGCCCGCACGATTCTGAAAATATTGGATGATGTAGTCTAATGGAGCGGTATGCAGTTCATACCGCAGAAGTCAAGGAGTCAGTCAATCTAAAAAAGGTAAGGTGGCGGCGATCAGTTTTACTGTGGCAAGGAATCGGATCCCCACGGTTCTAGAGAAACCAGTGTAGAGCCTTGGTCGCGTTTACGATTCGAAGTTATTTGATAGAGCGGAGGTCCGGCGAATACAAGGGTCACTAGCTACAGGCCTGCTCTCGATGGAGCGTAGTAGGCTGATCGGAAAGTTTAAAGTCTGGTGTCTCCAATTTATGTTGATCCCTGTCCGAGAACATCCGGTAATACGTGCAGCAGGAGAAAATCAACATTGAGCCTCATGAACTCAGGTGAGCCCACTCTCTGAACATGTCTAGGAGCTCGTGGGCCGAAACATTTGTCGACGAGAGATTAATTCTACTGATTATTAGTAGAATCCTGCTGTACATACTCCCCTGTGAAGTTTCTTCTTATTGTGCGTGACAAGCCCACAAGACAACCAGGATAGTACTGTTGACTATCGGGGAAAGACCTTTTGACACCTATGGAAAGACTGCCCCCCCCCCCCTCCTTCCTCCGCCGGTATCGCCGAGGGGATAACTGACATCTTGAGACAGATGTCGACTGTGGACCGGGTTGATCACCCTTAACACAGTATAATACCTCCGATTTCGAAACCACAAAAAGAAATATGCCACCAGGGTCCATCGAAAGAGAGGGAGAATGATGGACCCAATCAATTAGATACTAACGGCGACGACCTTCCTAGCCCCCGGACTGAGATTTCTGCCCATCCGCCGGGTTGGCTCTGTACATGTGGAAAGAGCTTCACCGGGTTGCATGTTCTGAGAACTCATGCCGAAAGGATGAAATGCGAAGTTGCGCCACGCAGTAAACGCCGTCGCAAAAGTACTACTCCCGTGGTAGCGCACCTTTGATGATTCCTGAAGAAGTGCGTTATACGCGTTCTAGGAATAAACTCACAGGGAGCAAGTACAGCAGGGATCTACCAGTCGTCAGTAGAAATTATCCTCGTCGACACACGTTTCGGCCCACGATTCCTAGACTCATTCGGAGGTGGGCCCTCCTGAGTTCATGAAGCTCAGGGCTGGTTCCCTGCTGCACGGGATTACCGTATGGTGTTTAACTTTCGGCCAGAGACAAGACGACTTGGTGGTTTCGCAGAAGGTACTGTGAGATAAGAAGCCGCCGCGGCAGCCTAATTAAAGCAGTCAGCATGCCTGGACGACCGAGCGACAAGCTTACTTTGGTTTACCGGACACATGTTGGACTTTTATTAGCAGTTGGCAGAGGAACACTGGCAGACAATTCGGACACGATGGACTTTCAAAGGGGTGAGAAACCCTTTTCCACTAGACACCCGGACCAGCTCACCGAGGCCCATCCCCTACATTGTTGCGTTGCGTCCAAAGCCAGCTAGAGGCCCTTTCGGCTACCTCTCCCAGTTTTTTGAGTGTTCGTTTCCGTTCATTACCGCGCAATCCTAATTCTTTCACCACATTGTAGAGCGAAGTGGAAACGAGGCCTCTCGATCCCACTTCGACGGCAAATACCCGTACTGTGTACGCCTCGTTTCTCCTTAGACCGGCTGCTAAATCACTGTACTTCTCGAGCTTGTACAAATGATTCTCCTCCATACGCGACTCAAACGGGACAGTCAACTCAATCAGGATGAGCTGCCGTTTTTGCGCAGAATGGAGAACGATGTCCGGTCGCAGGCCGGTTTTACGGATCAACTCGGGGTACCGTTCATGGCCTGGCAGATCAACCGCCAGTAACCAGTCCCTCGCAGAGTCTAGCACAGATGGAGCGAATGCGTTTTGGTTGACCTTACCTTTTGGAACCTGCCCAGCCTTGAGGAAACGAATGGGGACGATGCTAGAACTGGCTCTGGCGTTAGCCCTCATTCTAGCCTGGTCGACAACAGCTGCTAACTCCTTTAGCACCTTGTTGTGTCGCCAGGTGTATCGGCCTTGACCTAGGGCTTTCCTGCACGCGGACAGGACGTGCTCAAGAGTTTGCTTCGATTTACACAGCGGGCAAGTCGGTTCGTTGGTCGCAGACCATTTAACCATGTTAACACCGAACGGTAATACATCGTACGCCGAACGAACGATAAAGCTCAGTCGCAGCGGGGTCATCCGCCAGATCTCACCCCATGTGAGTATTCTTGGCAATGCGCTCTCCAGGCTGACCCAATGGCCCTGCTGCGACTGCTGGGTTGCTTTCTGGACCCGAACCTCGTTTTCGTTGTCCCTCACCGTTTGTATTACCATGTCTCGGCGCTCTTTGGCTGAGGCCTTTGACCACCAATTGACCTTCCCGTGCCCTAGACCTCGACGGTCGGTTTGAGTGTATCCCATTATCTCTCTCAATTTTAGTGCATTCTGGGCAGATTCTATCGCATCGAGGACCCTCCACTTCTGACCAGTCTTTAGAGCGGGCTGGACAGCGATGACATTTGGGTCTGAAGACTCGCGTAAGAGCATGGCGAGCCTTACCTTGCTGACTTTAAACTCTTCGGTTATTGATTTGAACGGAAGTACCAGCTTAGCCTGCTTACAATACAGAGCCACGTCGGTCAGACAAGGCGGTGCACCAATCCACTTTCTCAAGGCTGTGTTGATTTTCTTCTCCATGGTTTCCACTGCAGTCATCGTCACCTCGTAGACTAGTAGTGGCCATAGGAGCTTCGGAATCAACATGAATTGGAGACACCATACCTTGAATTTCCCGACCAGCCTGCATCGCTCGATCGCGAGCAGGCCTGTAGCCAGTGACTCGTGTATTCGCCGGAATTCCGCTCTATCAGATAACTTCGAATCGTAAACGCGACCGAGACTCTTCACCGGTTCATCCAGAACCGTAGGGATCTTGTTCCTTGCCACCGTAAAACTAGTTGCCGACACCTTGCCCTTATGGATTGACAGACTCCTCGACTTCTGCGGTTTGAACTGCATACCGCTCCATTGGACCACCG